GTAACACCTGTAACATTTCTGCAAATGTGTAAGTGTCAGTATAGATGGTCAGAGTAAATGAAGGTGGAACATAACATAAATGAAAGAGTTTATTTCAAATTGCATATAATAAATCTGCCTGTCTATTTATCTATCTGTCTCTCTATACTGCTGATGGTGTTTGAGTTTCCAAGCCGCCACACGATGGCGCTATCCTCTCAGTTGCTAAAACCAGTTTTCACACTCAAGGATTTGGAGAAATCTTTGACTCAGGATTTTCTTTATCTCCGTTGGTTTTTGGTTGAAGTGCCCGTTGTGAAGTATTTGCACAGTCTACTTCTGATTTTACACGAGCTGATAATAAAGGATAGTGAATAAATTATAATCTAAGAAACCTGACATTAGACCAACTGAAATGATTTGACTGGAGTTGAATACATTTATAATTCTTACTCCTTCTCGTGGGTGACATTGATTTGTTCCCGAAAGAAATGGAAACACACACACACACACGTTTGAGGGACCTGTCATGTCCGATGTAAATTTGACACATCAGCTTATTATGTTATAACGCGTTCTTTTGAAAAATAAAACGCGATCAACATTTAAAGAAGTCCTGTATGATTGAAACTGTATTATCCTAATATGCAAAACATGGAATAGATGATTATTTGTGTGTACAACTTGAGATTGGAACAGTAAATAGTCGTTTTGCGCACAGTCAAGTCTGCGCCCCCCTGTGCCCATTGCGCAATCATCGTAAGAAAAGCGACTATCCATCTGTGGCCACGTTCGGTCCACGCTCACAGTCTGCGTCCCTTTATGGTTTGACAGTGGGAAAAAAAGTTTTCAAGTCAGTCGGTTAAAATTCATTGTTGCCTGTCCAGCCAATCATAGTTTTTGACGACACAAAAGAGGCTAAAGTTGGAGTATAAAAAGGTGTGCGCTAATAAAGTATGATGCCTATCAGAGTGCGACATTAATCCAAACGCAGCGCAGACACGCATTGGGTCCAGCACACACCGGGGGATCTGCTTCGTTTTTTTTTTCTAAATCAAACCTCCCACCAGAGAAAATGCATCTGTCTCACATTGTGCTCTATCTCAGTTTGCTGGTTGCTTTGGGTCCAGTAGTTCTGAGCGACCAAGAGACGCACCATCAGCAGCCCTCGGCCAGCAGCCCGGAGGACGCGGAGCAGTGCGCCACCTGCGACGTCCGGCAGCAGATAAAAACCATGCGACTAAACGCGATCAAATCTCAGATTCTGAGCAAACTGCGAATGAAGGAAGCTCCGAACATCAGCCGAGACATTGTGAAGCAGCTCCTGCCCAAAGCACCGCCGCTGCAGCAGCTTCTCGACCAGTACGACGTGCTGGGAGATGACAACAGGGATGTGGTCATGGAGGATGATGATGAGCACGCCACCACAGAGACAATCATGATGATGGCCACCGAACGTAAGTTTTTATTTCACTTAATTAGGAATGAAAAGGACGCGCTCCTAGACTTTTACGCGCGGGGCCAGGCAGAGCGCGCGCGGCAGAGCGCACGGGAGACGCTAGATCTAGGTTTATTTAGATTTGATTTGGAGGCACTATTAGAAATACGGATAGATAAGAGTACCAAGACTTAAGATTGTACAGGAATCAGTACATTTAGTCATGCGGCGCATGATGTAAAGGGTTCATTTCAGATGTCGTGCCATGGGTTTTTATTAATGTTATTCATTCATTTATATCTTTTTCGTCCACTTATTTCTCTGTGTAAATTTCAATCACACATGGTCAGTAAACACAGTCTCTCTGTGTTCTTCTCCAGCCGAGCCCATCGTCCAGGTGGATGCGGAGCCCAAGTGCTGCTTTTTCTCTTTTACCCAAAAGTTTCAAGCCAGTCGCATCGTGCGGGCGCAGCTCTGGGTCTACTTGCGGCCGGCGGACGAGGCGACCACCGTGTTCCTGCAGATCTCCCGCCTGATGCCGGTCACGGACGGGAGCAGGCACATACGGATCCGTTCCCTGAAGATTGACGTGAACGCCGGGCTCAGCTCCTGGCAAAGTATAGACGTCAAACAAGTGTTGACTGTGTGGCTGCGGCAGCCGGAGACCAACTGGGGCATCGAGATTAACGCCTTCGATTCGAGGGGAAACGACTTGGCCGTGACCTCCACAGAGCCCGGAGAGGAAGGACTGGTGAGCTGACAACTGATTTCTCATAAAACACAACCTCATGGTGACGTTTTTTTTTACTAGAAGTGAATAGTGTGGGTGCATGCGAGCAGCTGAAACAGTTCAGTTCGTATAAATGTGCCCTGACAGAAGCAAAACGTTTTCCTAAAAATTCAGGTCCCAAGTGGGTTTTCATTTCCTGTTGCACTGTGCAGGGATTTGAACTTCAGGCCTCCAGAGGTTTCAGTGTGCAGAGAGACTTTGCAGAATCAGCAGGTGGTGAAACACTCAGCCTGTTGGAAGAACGAATTAAGATATAAAAGACTTTTGAAAACAGTAATGGACCCAGTGTGCATGCAGGCGTGCACCTGCATTTGGCCAAATGCCCCGTCCACAATAACCTCAAATCTTACTGCCTTATTACATAAAGGTTCACCTGCTCCACATTCCTTAAAGTATTCTGTGTGACTGTGTAAATCAGAGTAATTGCCTTCACACTAACACACACACACACACACACACACACTGCTACTATCAGTGACAAACACACATCACGCAGCTCAAACACTGGCACCAGACTCAGGGGCAATTAGAATACATCAGCGGCTGTGGTTAACCAACCGTCAGATGATTTAATTTCCTTAAAACTCAAAGTTTCATAATATTATCGTGCCATGTTTGAAAACCAGCTTCAAGGGTCGAGAGCACCGGATTAAAAGATTTCATCTGACTGCTGTCATCCCACTCTTTTTTGCAAAGTCTTTAATTTCATTTTTGTCATTTCAGCAACCATTCATGGAGGTGAAGATCACCGACGGCCCAAAGCGAGTCAGGAGAGACGCGGGCCTGGACTGTGACGAAAACTCCCCAGAGACCCGGTGCTGCCGCTATCCGCTCACAGTTGACTTTGAGGACTTTGGCTGGGACTGGATTATTGCCCCAAAGCGCTACAAGGCCAACTATTGCTCTGGGGAGTGTGAGTACATGCACTTGCAGAAGTATCCCCACACCCACCTGGTGAACAAAGCCAACCCCAGAGGGACCGCAGGCCCCTGCTGTACCCCCACCAAGATGTCGCCCATCAACATGCTCTACTTTAATCGCAAGGAGCAGATCATCTACGGCAAGATCCCCTCCATGGTGGTGGACCGTTGCGGATGCTCTTGAGTTGGGACGGAGAGCGTCTGGAGGACGGGGGGGGCGCAGTGGCTCTCCCTGGCCTCCAACTTCAGACTTGTTGACACAACCAATCCACCAGTTCCGAAGCTTTCCTGCAGAACATGGTGCAATAGAACCAGAGTAGCGGCCACAAACAGCCCGACTTTCCTGCAGGGCAGCGCTTTCACAACCGGCATAGCTCTTTTCTTTCTTCCTGTGAAATCTTAGCCATAGAGGCTTGAAGTCAGAACAATACAGGAACACACATAAACACGCATGCACACATGCTGGACGTTGGAATGAATGTAGACAGAAATGATCAAAACTATTCAAAAAAAACTTTTTTCTCCATCGTTACCGTGTTCTCTCCATTTATACGAACATGCTGACAGATTATACTCACATGCCGTCTACTCCACTCCACTCATAGCCAACATACAAGCTAATACACGTTTCGCTAAGCTGTTTGTGATAATCATTTTTCGAGTTATGTTTTCAGAGTGAAACCGAGAATCCTCAAGGACTTTTTGAAGAGGGCTTGGAAAACACAGCTGGAGGTTCAGAGCAATATTTTACTCTGGCAGAACATGTTTATGTCCACGTAGGTTCATAGGAGTTGGAAAAAAACCAACTTTACAACATTTGGAAAATTAGACACACGACATTTTCCTTTCTGTGCTGGCTTAAACTAATTCATTCTATGTTCTGATTACTTAAGCGGAGAGCTGTGTGTGATGGCGTGGAAGTTGATCACTCCTGAGATCCTATGGACACAAAAATGTTCCACCAGGGTGAAGTACCACTTTAAGTTTCTGCCATACACAAACACACACACGCACACACACACACCCAACCAAGAAGCATCCTCTCTCAGTCATAATCACTATCCAACAACAGAGCCAGACCTGCCCAATACACTTGAATGATTCTGATTGTAAATTCACTTGACTGGACAGAAGGACTTGAACTGAAGGCACGATGAATGCAGCCTACAAATGAAAATGTGTTTAAGACAGAGAAACTGGGTTGTTCAGATGTATGAATGTTGAGATCATGCTTAAACTCTGTCTTACATCAACACAGTTTGCACTATGGCACACCAATAGAAAAAATTGGTTGCTACAAAAGTTGTAAAAAACTGATTTTGATATATTTGCTTATTTGTATTGTATACATATGCCATTGTTTCCAGTAGGAGTTGCCTTTCTAAACCACTGTTGGTAAATGTATAAAACCACAATCCATCAAAAATGTAATACAGCAACTACTTGTTTTAACAAATAAAGTTTCTAGCTTGTTTGCTGAGTTGTTTGTTTGCGTGTTTTCTGCCTCACATCCGGACGATTTTTAAAAGAAGAAGAAGAAAAGACGGTTATTTTCAATAATCTGATCTTTAAGGTCATTCTGCAGCGTTCTGTAACTCCGTAATGAAATATTCTTCAATGCAATTTCTGACTCACACACAATAAAAATCAATCAATATCAATATCGGCATCATATTTGAGAAGGTTATTGCAAACCATAAACACGATTATGCAAACATTTGTCTGAGGAATGAGGTTGGCCATGCTTTGTTTGCAGAGCTCAGTGTCATTCTGTTGACTCACAGATCAAATCCCAAATTAATGCTTCAGTATCACAACATAACAACTTGAACATCTCAGCCCCATTTCGCAGTTGAGCAGCTGAGAATCTTTACGTCTTCGCCACATGGTGAAAACCGATATGTTACGCAAGCGATGAGTGTGTGTGCTGTGTGCATTGGTATGAGGAGAACGGTTAAGACAACACACACACACACACACACACACACACACACGCACACACACACTCTACCTGACTACACATGCACAATCCCATCACTATGAGCCAGTTTCATCAGTGTGTCATTCAGAGCAATTTCCCTGACTTAGCATTTTTCCAGTGAAGGGATGTTGAAAGCATTGCAGTCTAATGAGAGGATGTGAACTCTGGTGCGTTCTGACAGCATGACCTATTCGACTGATGGCCTCATTGAGGCCTGACTTCCGCCCAGTAGAGGGCGAATTGAGCACTGCCCCTGAGAGCCACTTCCTTTCCTGCTGCGAGCTGGACGTGTGCCATGAGGATCGGCCACAGAGGAGAGCAGACCCCGGACAGAGTGGATCCACAGAACCTCTGTTTCCCGAGGAGAGGATTTTAGATTCTACATTCGCTGTAAATGAAAGAACCCTATTGTAGAAAAATGAAGGTTAAATAGTATTTAATATAAGCTTGATTCGTTATTACATCTAACTGCATGTATAGTCTGTAATCTCTGTCCTCATGTGTTTCTACATCTGCAGTTTTTATGCGTCTAATAGTCTCCAACTGTTTTCACCTGTTTACCTTCATATTATTACTAACGACGCATGTTTAAAATATTAGCAATCTAATACAAAAACATCATTGATCCTATGTGTCATGTGTTAACGTCAGTTCAGCTTGTTTTCACAGCTCTCCAGAGCCAAAGTTTCAATTTTACAAAAGTATATTATGGCCTTGTCCATTGTGAGTAATTCTCAAATGAAGATTTGCTGCAAGTTTCAGAGATGTTTCTGTTTCTTAAGGTTTCAAACATAAAATGTAGCTGCTAAAGAAGGAGGAACAGAATAAGAGAAGTTGAACCTGATGAAAAACAACACTTTTTCTTTCTCTTCATTTAAGAAATATGCCTGTAAGCCACTGTTCCCATTCAGTTTTCAATGTTTATCATGTCTGAGTGCAGCATTTCATTTAATAAATGTCCTGCACTATCTGCTGCTGTCTGCTTGTGTCAAGCTGCTTTCTGAACAGGAAACATTTTGACCGAACGTCGCTCATCTGTTAAGAGTCAGACCCAGGAGGACTGTGGCCGCCAGCGACATTCCACCTCTGACAGGTGAGGAAGTGAGAGTGAGAGAACGGGAAGGAGGATGTAAAGGAGTAGTCCAAGGCAGCTGGAGACCCCGTTATTGGACAGAGTTCCTGGAGTGTAAAGCTAATAGAAAATGAATGGATAGAACCTGTAGTCCTTCTTAATAAATTGTCATTTATAATGTATGACGTGACTCCTTCAATTAATGATGATGTTTGATGAATATATGTTTTTTATCCATGTTTGATTACTTGGTTGTAAATAAGCAGGATTATGCAAAAGCAATTGGACAGATAATCACAAAACGTTGTGGAAGGCAGGGAAGAACACATTTCATTTCAAGATTTTTTAACATTTCAGTAGATTTTACTGAGAACAACGATGGATCTTGAATCTAAAAAAATACCATCTTTTCAGGGGACTGATATCTATGAGTGTGTGCAAATTGGTGCAGATCTATTAAATTTAAAAGTGGTTTCATAAAGGGACAAGTAGATTACTGCCATGTGCTGTGTAGTAAGTTACAGTGGTGTTTTGACCTGGGTTTATTTCAGGGAAATCTAAAAGGGCTCTAGAGATGTTCGGTTTCTGCAGATCATGACGCCTGACAGATGATAGCAGCTTTTTAAGAGATGTAACCTCTAGAGGTCTTTCAAGAAATGAGTGGGATTTGAAACTGGTGAACTTGAACCTGGAGACTGTGGTCAAAAATCACAAACAACCAAAACAGATAACTTGTCTATCCTGAGATTAGACTTTTATTATTATTATTATTTGCTATAACTTGTATTTTTGTTAATAAACTGTAGCCTGATTAATTAAAAAATATTCATGTAGTATGCAAACAATAATCCTCTTTGTTAACTTATCTGATGGTATCACTTTTCCAAATAGAGGCTTGGTACAACCATTTTAAGAGACTGGCAGCTTCTTAATCTAAGATTAAAGATTTCTATTCCTCCCAATTCTATTGCAAGGCCTCCAGATTTCCCCAACATCTGGACAAAGGAGGGCGAATGGATGTGGCGCAGAGTTAAGACAACGGGTGGGGAGATGCCAGGTGCATCTAATAACATCTGGAGCCTTTAACAGATGTGTGAAGCATAGCATCTGGAGAAGTCTTTCTGCTCACAGATTGCTCTGTGGCAAAGGTCTCCTTCGACAACAACATGGTTCAAGAGTGTGGGCAGATCAAAATGTCAAACCATGAAGAAGTGAACATGTAAGTGAGGTTGGATGAAACTTGGTGTAAACTTAATGTTAAAAGTAATAATGCACTGAATTATTTGTATTCATTTTCAGCTACGAAGTTTGGAAACAAAAAAACACTGTTTCAAGCCACAATTATTAGTTCAGAGACTCAAAACTGTAGAATCTACTGATGACACACTGTCGGTCATCATACCTTAAATAGCCTGAATCTAGACCTCTGGATAATGACACACATCTCAGATGCGTTCAGGGTCTAGGGTTTTCCCTGGAAGGAAAAACTATGGATGGCACCTTCCTGCACAGCTGGCTAGCTACCAAGCTACACTGACGAAAAAGAGTAACTGGAGAATATCCACAAAGATTGTCCCGACCATGGATGAGACGCAGCTGTGCTTGTTGGAAGTTGACTTGAAGAAATAACTCACACATCTTCAAAATTCTTAAATCATCAGTTAAAATGTGAAATACACCTTATTTGCAAACTGAAAATAAAGTTGGTATAAGTTTGTCATGTTGGTGCAAAACAACCCACTGAGAAACGGTACCATAATATCAAATTGGTCTTCTCACCCTTAAGTGTTCGATGTATTCTTCAGTGATGAGTTTTACTGTGAGGTATACACGAATATTGTTTAATCATTGATTTGATACAGCACATAACAAAATGTTGAATGAACCACCATTTGGTAAAAAAAAACATATTTTCACCATTTGTTGTTCAATCACTACTGCACAGACTCCAGTTCTTTATGTATTTGGAATATTTTGGCTGTATATATTTTTGGATAGAGGGAGAAAGTGGAGATACACAGTCCACCTTTAGCTAGTCTACGTCTAAAGCATCATGCTGATAGAAGAAGATAGAATATATTATCACACTTAATTATTGACGTAATTGTCACAACCTAAGCAAAAAAAAAAAATTTGCTAAATTGATAGGCTTATGTTTCAGCATAGCGGAATAGGCTGTGTATATTGTCAAATAACCTTACTGTACTTGAGGGTCTGGCAGTAGTTTGAGACAACGATAATCCCGAACTAACATTCGTTTTAAACAGATGGGATGAGAACCTTAGACTGGAGGTGATAAACCTAAAATCCACAGAATAAGAGTCTAAAAAACGTTTTATTTAGTGCTGGATGTTTGAAAACATATGCGACTAAATTTTGAAGCTAACATTAGTTCATGTGACACACGTTCTGCACTGTAGGGGCGCGGAACAGAGGCACTGAGGCAAGGTACTAATCTTTCCACAGGCATTAACTGAGAAGGTGTCTCTTTTTAAGTTACATAACAAGCAATTAAAACATGGAAATTACTTCCCATTCTTATATCTAGTGCCTTTAAACAACCAGCAGAAGATGATCACCTCAGGCCAGATTGACAGGTTGTTTGTGAAAACCCCTTGTGGGTCAAGAGAAAGCAATGAAAAGCAATAAAATCAGCCAGTCTAGGATAAGGTTCAGGCCAGATGGCCAGCTGCTGAATGCTGCCTGTCTTCACTTCTCAAGTGATTTATCCTTCCCGTCTGCACTCTTCTTGCTTTTTCACTTAGGGATGAGGAATCACTATTCCTACTGCAAAACTGACAGTCACCACTGGGAAGCTATCGTATGATTAATGACTTTGTAAAGCTACTGGAAGTTTGGAGAGAGGACAAATTTGGTGAACACTCCAGATATGTTTACAAAATTCCTCAATGTCTGTGTTTGTTTGCGAGGAGGGGTTAGGTGACGAGCAAAAAATGTGGCTCTCTGACATCCGAGGTCCAAAGCAGCGGAGCATTGTCTCTCTGGGGACAAAGAGTTGACAGTGATGAAGAATAGATGTTCCTCTAAGGAGACTAAGGGAGGGCAGATTGTGGAAACCTCCTGTCTCCTGATGATATGCCTATGTCCTTAACACAGACGGATGTAGAATAGTATCAGGTATGTGTCAAGAGCTCGGGACAGATTTGGACATCTCAGAAATAACATGTATGCTACATTTTTTAAGATTATGGCACACAATTAATTTTACAAGAAGCTTACTTGAGTGACATTCATGAGGCAAGTAGGACTTTTCAAAACTAGGCTTTGGAGGATAGATCCAGGAGTCTGTCTTACCTTAAGTTTAACATTTATTGATAGAGAAGGAAATCC